GCGGAAGGATCGCCGAAGCCCAGCAAGTCGAGGCTGCGGTGGCCGGGAGCAGCCACTGCACTCCAGTCTGGGCGACCAAGTGAGACTCCAACTTTAAAAAAAAAAAAAAAAGACTTTTGGTATCCTTGCTGTAACGCTCTTGGATACTTTTTTGTTTCCTAGCCAATGTTTATCACAGAAAACAACAGACACACAACAGAAAATATCAAAGTATTCAGTAGTCTATTTACATCAGCAGATTACAGGCACATTCGAATTTAAAAAAACAAAAAAAAGCTTTCTTAGGTTAAGACAATACTATCTCCATCTTTTTCTGTTGCCTTTCCTTCTTTTTTTAAACGAGACATACCACTTGGCCTACAATCCTTAATCTGGGCTTTGTGATGTGGAAATGAAAGTTGCTATTAAATTACAAAACAATGTTGTGCTTTGATAAATGATGGTGGGACGACCTACGTGAACTGCCGAGAAGCTGGAATTCTTCTAAACTCTGTATCCGTGGAGTTGTAAGGCTGAGCAGATTATGAAATGTTCCATCCATGCTTCAAACGGCAAACACTCAGGATGGAGAGTCTAACAGCTAAGTTACCATATTAATTGCTTAAAACATAAAAGTGTTTTAAAGATCAGTCACTCTATATTTAGAAATGGCTTTGAGATTTTGATGAAAGGGGCTTCGTAAGTAGAAAAAGTTGCACTGCTGTATTATTTTGATCACAGCTGATAGCAGACGGCCATCATGAACCACCCTCTGACAGAACTGGGGGAAGAAGTGTGAAACTTCAGTTCAGGAGACAATGATTCCATTTATTGTGTTTCCTAACATTCCAGCAATACTGTTTATTCTCTTAACGCTCTACTGTCATTCCTTTATTACTGCTGTTTTATTATCGGTAGCAGCAATCACAGTGTAATTAATTGATTTATTTTTGGACACATTAGAGTACACGGTGTTTCAGAATATCTTACGAGATGGAAGAACAACAGCAACTAACTCATCACAAAGTAAATTAAACTCTGTTTTAATGACAGATATTATTTTGGTTCCTTTTAGCTGGTGCTTCAGAAGACCATGCAAACAGATGTCCCCTATGGATGGTAAAAAGCAGTGCACTGTGAGCTTTAAGGCATGTCAAGAAAGCTCTAGGGACCGCATCAAGCCTAGAGAAAAAGTGCAAAATGTTCCCCAGATCTTATGTTCAACAATCCAACATGCTGGCCGCTCCTGTATATACTGAGCTGAAGTACACAAAGAAGTTACTTACAACCCTCTGGGATTCTCACATAAATAAGTTTTGTAGCCTACACGGTTCTCTTAATTCTTCAACAAAAACCAAATATTTTCAGCCAAAAAAAAAGTGTATAAATAACAAAATCTCTCAACCACTGCAAGCATTCAAAAGTCTGGCACATTTTGACTTTCTTCTCACCTACAACAGGCAGCTTGGATTCGTTTGAGAGATTTCTCCTCTTGAATTTGGCCTAAAAGCAAGGGAGGAACAGATTTGAATCCCTATCTCCACCATAAGACTTCAGATTGTTTGGACTCACTTTATCTTTTCAATTTTAAAAGAGGATTTAAAACATGAAACGTAGGCAGAGACGTGCAGAAAAGGGCACCCACTGCCAGACCGGTGGTTCTTCACTAGGGGCAATTTTGCCTCCAGAGGACATCTGGCAAGGTCTGGAGACATTTTTTATTGGGAGGGGTGAACAGTGCTACTGGCATCTAGCAGATAGAGACCAGGGGATGCCACTGAGCCCTGCAAGGGCAGAGAACAGCCCCCACAATAAGAAACCCCTGGCCCCAAATGCCAGTATTTTGCTGAGACTGAGAAGTCCTGTGCCAGACCCAAAAGAAAGAATCGAGTTGGAGAAAACACACACGACAATTAGATTTACAATTTCATAAAAACCTTCCCTGAGTACAACGTGCCTTATGCATTTTAGCCCAGACTTGAGCTAGAATGTTTCAAGACACCTCCATATACATCTTCTGCCCGCAGAAAAAAGGGAGAATGATGGTCCACCCAATCGCCGGCTAATTAGCAGGCAGATAAAACACATCACAACTTGAAATCACCCAACTGGGTGATTTCAAAAGCGAGCAATCCACTAATTAAAAATACTGGAAGTCTAGTTTTTTCGAAGCAGGTTAAATACTGGCTGGGTTCCTTCCCAAACAGATTCCCGGCCAATCAGCTCTGATGCCCTTTTCCCATCCCTTCCCAAGTCCTTCACCCCAGGTCCTGACCCCACTCTGCGGCACCTTCCTTCCCTCCCTCCCTCCCTCCCTCCTGTTGCTGCCAGTTGAACAGGCTTTGCCATTCCTCGGCCTCTAGATGATGAGGACAAATCACTGGCTCTCCCAAACCTAATAAACAGAACAATCGCATGAATTCTAATTCCCTTTGATCTTTGGGGCAAAAAAATCTATATAACTGGTGCTCACTGACCCACAGCAAGAAGAGAGAGAGAGCTACAGCATGCAGAATGGTGATTCACAAGGAATGTAAACATGTTCCCTTTTTGGTCATTTGTTTCCCATCTCTCCCTCCCTGAATGGCACCAGACCTGCCAGTCGGTCAGCAAGCACTTCCTGGGTCACTATTCCAGAGCACCGCAAAGCGCATTTCAAAGCGCATCGACCTGCATCTAAGTCACCTGCCATGTTCATTGCAGAGTCAGCTTCTTGGGACCCTTCTAGGACCTACTGAGACTGGGCCCCGGGATGGCGTCCACAACATCATGTTTCTAACAGGATCCCCAGGGAACGATCACATACATGGCGGGTCTGAGAACCACAGAGTCTTCTACTGGACCCACGAGACAAATGCATGTCCCACATCCCCAAGAGCAGCCTGTCTCCTTCCATATCCTCAAATTCCTGTCTGGGCTGCTGGCTGAAGCGGCATTCAGCACACATGTGCATCCCAGAGGTTCATCCCAGAATCGCTTTTTATGGAAACTGTGCACACGCAGCCATTCCCGCAGGCACACCTGGACACGGCACGCTCTCTTAAGCCACCAGGTGTTTGTACCTGCCATTCCCTCCGCCCTCACAACAAATAAGAGCAGTTCATCTTGAGTAAGCTTATATGTATGAAAGGCGCTGTGCTAAACATGTAAATGCCGTAACGGCATCCCCATTTCACCTATGAGAAAACTGAGGCTTAGACAGGATACAAAACTTGCCCAAGGAATCAGTCAAGGGCAGAGACGGGACACAGATACAGGTGTCGTGGGAGGCCACAGTCGGTCAGGGAGTGAGCTTACCTATCACAGTCATGTCGCCCTGGTAAGAATTTCACAAAGCCAGCGGAATGTCCCCACTTGACACTCACCCCCAGGCAGAGCGAATGCATTGATGCGGAAGTTTCTACCCACTCTTATGTCCACAAAAGATTACAGAAACACATACAGCACAAAACATATGAAATAAACATCTGAGGGAATCAACGGAATGGCAAATAAGACCAGGAGAACAATCAAGACACAAGCATGATGAGTTCATCAAAAGGCACACTGTGAAGGACCGGAGAGTAGATAGAGATGGGTCAGAATGTTGAAGCTATCAAGTAGATAAAAGCAAAGAGTGAGACAAGACTGACAATGACCATCAGATGAAAAACTCAAAATGGTTCAGGAGAAACCACCCAACCCTGGTGTTAAACCCGACGGAAAATATTCACAGAGTTTCCAATACAGAGGACAGAATGTCGCATAGGTATAAACAGTAGCAACAACAGACACAACGATAAGATCTGTAGGGCTGGCTCAATACAATAGTTCAGTAAATACCCAGGACTTATAGCAATAAAACCACGTGGGTACACATAAAGCTACAGAGCAACACGCCTGTATCATACCAAACCGTGCTATCCATTCCACAGAGGAAGGAAACTTGCTCTACTTACCTCAGCAGCCCTCAACCTCTCATGTGGTACAGTGGGCGGGCTTATTAATCTCTTATTGGAATGAACTGAAGCAGCACAGAGTGAAAAGTAAGACACTGTTTTGGTGTGAGCAGGGTCTATAGCTAGATGGTGAGACTAAATGATACACCGGAAAAGATGTGTGAAACCCATTAAGACAACAGAGTAACAAATGAAATACGGCCTGGCAGAAAGCTGCTGGGTATTAGTTCTCGCCTCTCCCTTGTTCTGTTGCCACCCTCTATCCAAGATGGGAGGAGAAACAGAAAGACGGGATCCTGGGCCGAAGGAGGGGAAAGAAAAAGAGAAGAAATTGAGAGAAATTACTTTTCCAAAGGACTGAGTGGGTTTAACGCTTCAGGATTTTTCTAGCTCCTTATTGGACCCCAAACAGACTTAGTAACTCTTTCACGAGATTGTGAAAGCTCACAAATGTTCATTTATTTCATTAGTTCTGCACGCACCCCCCCTTAAATGTCCAACGCTACGGTGCCAAAACGCAACAGTTTGGGCAGAAGTACAACCAATCACATTTG